AAGAGTTACAGCAATACTGCTTAAAACAAGGAGGAAAGACAATGTCTTAATTATGTACACAATTCTCATTTCATATTTAAACCAAATAAGAATATCACTTTAGAAGTATAAATGGTTATATATAAATGGATCACCATTTGAAAACCAGAAGGAAAGTACCCAGTATCTTTTAAAATAATTAAAGCCTTATAAAATTTTTATTTAAATACCTTTAAATGTGACTTTATGATTAAATGACTTTAAAGCATTTCACTTGGGATTCTTCCGAATTGGTCAACTGAGTAATTCATCTTGAAAATTTAGTAGTTTTAGGAACCATTTTCAAAATGTTAACATGCATAACTCACTAACAAATTAGCTATAACTGTTACATGATCCCATTTTAAATTTCCAAGATTTTGATCTAAATATATGTATTTTTTTACAGTAACATTTATCAACAGCACCAAGGATAAAAATAATCATATGTATTCTGAGTTTGGAAAATGTTTTCATACTTAACTATAACAAAAGTGATATGGCTAATAAATTAATAATTAAACATTATGAAAAACCCTTAAACATGAGCACATTGTAGTAAATTAACTTTCATAACTGTGTAACTAATTAATGTTAAACACACTGAGACATAAACTCTGTCCTACGTCAGTTGAACTGTGTACAATACTTCAATTTTTATATATTTAAATATTAGCCATCTCCAAATACTTTTATATCCTATATTGTAATAATTACTCTTATTTCTTCTATTTCCATTATTCTTTGAAATGTTTTTGAGAAAGTAATAAAAGGAACATAAATATATAAAATCTCTGTAATACAGGCATTTGTATTCTATATAAAATCTCTGTAATACAGGCATTTGTATTCTCCAAAAACATCAAACTATAAATCAGAAATAGAAAGCATAAGGAGAAAACATCAATAGTTAAAAGGTAAATAAAGACCAAAACCAAATTAAAATACCATTGAAGACAACTAAGAGATAATAGCTAAAGGATGGTCATTTTTGAAAAAAATTCTTACATAAATTGTGAAGCAAATGAAATATTTGTTAAAAATTCTTTGTATTCTAGTTGAAGGCTAACACTCCCAAATACATAACTCTGCAAGAAAATATTATGCAAATAAGCTATAGAGAGGGTAATAAGGAGAATGGATTCTATCCTTCCTCTGGACAAAACAAATTTCAAATAATCATTTTATCTTATTAGTTGAGGTAATGACTTTAAGTATAAATGTAAAAATCTACATAAAGAAAAAGTTACATAATAACATCAACAGGGAGTTATTGAGTAATACTGCCCTCCTTCATAAAGGATCTAGTATTTAATTACCATGTGATTCATTTAAAAATATCATCACATATTAAGTCCTATTAAAAGATTACAATATTTCAGAAAGTTGTCAGAGACCTTTCCAGGTAATTTAAACATGTTACTCTACAATCTAACTGTGGGTGAAAATTTTTTAAAACTTATTAATAATAAACTGATAAGAGTATTAATTATTAGCACTTATATAATTTGACATAACCTGAGTAGGAAGCTATACTTCCTACTGTATTAACCATCTATATTGTGTATTACAAATCTGTATTAACCATCTGTATTCTTCCTTCAGTCGAGAGACAAAATTCTGTTTTGCACTGTTTGCTTAAGTAAGAAATCCCTACAAATTTATCCTATTTACAAACTAAATCATTATCAAATATTTTAAGGAACATCTTAAAACAGAGACCTATGACAAAATTCACAAATATAACATTTATACCTTTTTGTTAAGTTTTAAAAAATACTGAATGCTATCAATGTTTCACTATTAACATGTGTCAAAATACATCTATTCATTACAAATCCATAAAAATACGATTATTTAAATCACCAGTTAACATCAGGAAGTCCAATGAAGACAGTCATTTTAAACCAATGGTCACACACCATGTTCAAACAGCAGTCTCATTATGTTTATCAACAGGTCTGAAGATAGAGAAAGGACAGTACCTAAGTCTTGGGTTTATTTTTCAGGACTTGGTGATATAGAAACTAAATCAAAGTTTGACTGTATTCTTGACAATAAATTTTAAACAGAATTATGTAACCAAAAATGTCCAGCTCTATTTTAAGAACACATTCATATATTCTCTTAATTTTCACAGCAACTTAATGCTTTTGATGTGCAGTTCTTTGCAGTCAATATTTTTAAAGGAGAAAAAAATATCCTGGGTGCCTTGGCATGAATTTTTAAATATTATTTTAAAGTAACTAAAATAATTTTTTTAATTTCCCCGAATAGATACTCTTCAAAACATGTTTCAGAATACTTTTTTAAAACTCCAGTAACACATGTACTTCTAAACAGTCCAAAAAACTCCATTATTTCATGTATTTAAAATAATAATTAGGTGACACTGCAGGTAAACATTTAAAATTCTTAATTATCTATGATGCCTTTTCATTACAAAATAATATGTATATAATGGGGAAAATCTAATTTATAATTATACATAAAATCTAGTATGCTTTCAAACATGCTCATACAGTAAAAACGGCAGCTAAGAAATAATTTTTTAAATGTCTTAAAAACTTTTATGAAATGATCATGAAACACAACCTGATTTTGCAAAGTGATGCTCACATGATACCTGCACACATCATTATTGCCATCAAATTGTTACTTGCAGTTGCTTGGCTGAAATCAGTGGAATCCTGTCTTTCTCAAAATAATTATTCATGAGTTATATGCAATTTATATGTTATAAATATAAGACAGAAACCCCTTCACCTAGGCATCAAAGTCAAGAAGAAACAAAACCAGAAACAATAACAAAGAAACTGATTCAAAATAATTTTCCCTGGAGAAAAATAAATATATTTTAAAACACAAATACTGTAACCATTAAAAAAGGGTCTTAAATATCACTTTTTAATTTTAAAGGTTATTACTGCCCTGTTTTTTCTTACATCACAAAAATACTAATACTTAAGTTTTATTGACTTTTACATACTTTTTCCTAAGAATATATCCAGACTGTTTTTATGAAAAAATCCACATATGTTTGAGACCTTTTTTTAATAATATACATCATTTTAATACTATTCTTTAGTAAATACATGATGTGTAACAAGATTAAAATTAATCTAATATGAATAATCTATGTTGTACTCTAGAAACTGTTCACTATATAAAAAAAAACTTTTCCAGCAATACAGCATTTCTTAATTTGGTAGATATAGGAATGCTTATGAACATATAACCATGAAATAGCTTACACCTGGATGACTCATTGTTCTAAACATTAATATCAGTTAATAAAATGTCTAATATTTGAATATAATAAAAGGTAAACACAGAAAACCAAATTATAACAAGGTGTGATAAGACAAAGAAGAAAAGGGCTATTTTTTTTCATTCATCTATAAAACAAATTTATGAGACTGTAAAGAACAATTTAACAACCTAAAGAAGGCTCAAAGGGGGGAAAGTCAGAGTCTGAGAGAAGATGGATTTGTCAGTGATTTCAGTCATTCTCTGTAGGGAGGAGAAAAAGCAGAAAATGTGGCTTCATTCTGCCATATAAAATAGGAGGCATAAAATCCAGTAGCCTGTCTGTGGACTTCTATTTATGTATTTAAACCCTGTTTCAATTCACAGATTATGCTGATCCTTCCACATGTAAACAGCCAATAATGATAGCCAGGCCTTTAGGAAAGGAAAACACACCACCCAGCAAGGTCAGGAAGCTACCAGGCACAGGACAACAGATCAAAACAAAATGGTTTCATATGTTTCTATTGTTTATATACTTAATTTGAAGATGATATTCCTTAGGGAGGAAAGGAGGTTGTAAATTATTACCAGGAACATGCAACGTACTATCAATCAAAACATAATGTTTTTGCAAATACACTAAGTATTTCCTGCATGTATCTATGTTAGTCAACCTGTAGGACTGATATCCTTGCATTCAATTCTTTTTAACTTAAGATGTCAAGCTAAAATAAACCTCTTTAGTCTTAAATTCCTTTACTTGGAATAATTCATTACAGATCATTTACATTTCTCCAACTTCTTTGGATGAAATAATCAAGCTTGCAAACTTGTAGATACCTTTTTTACTATGAAGAGAAGAGGGAAAGGGTAAGATGTATTCATTTTCTTGTTTCCGGATAAAATTTCAAAAATGAGAAGAAAAGCCATCATATTTGGTATTTAAGCATCTTTTAAAATTACAACACAATATAAGCAACGGGGGAAATATGCCCCAAGTAGGCGACTAGTACATTTTAAACACACAAACTCGAGCCGCCACTGGCCACATGTTTTTTTGAGTTCAGTCTCTTAAAGAGACAGTATCCTTGGACCTATGCCCTACATGGAGCACGTTTCTAAAATGTTTGATTACCAAAAATCCTCTCCTGCATTTCTTCATATCCATACTAGATCAACAATATCCGACTTTATTTTACTGTGAAACCAAATTATTTTAACTTGATCTACAAATGCCTACAGGCAAATACAAAATAATTGGGGAAGCTACCGTGATTAGAGGCGTCTAAAATAAGTGTACCTAGAGATTCTTATAGTAACAAATTGGCAGTTGTTGTTGTTTTAACTTAGTATGATCATCGTTTCTTAATTCATTTCCCACTCATTTCCCAGACACAAGCCACACAATGTATTGTAACCAGTAACACCGGAAGCTACACTACGACAATTTCGCTGTGCAAAGAAGAGGGGAAATTACTTCAGTCAACCAGCACTCAGAACTGAAATTTCAAAGATTTCATTTTCTGTTTAGGAAAAGACACGCAGGAAAGAGCCCATGCACATACCCTAAAAACTGCAATCACTCGTGATTTTAAAAGAAGATTTTGAAGGCCACATTATTGTAAGTCAGCTGACAAAACTACCGGTCAGCTCCTCCACATAGAGAAAGGTAAAGACGGGAAGCAAAAAACAAACAAAAACAAAAATAAAAAACCCACAGTCTGGCTTACTTGGTGTACAAATACATCGACTGGAATATCCAAGGGGCTTCCCTCTCGGCTTATCATGGAGATGAATCCAAATCCCATTCGCACGTTGAACCACTTGCAGTGGCCAGTTCCGTGCAAAACCTGGGATTCGTCCTCTGCCTGCTCTGGCAGCTTCCCGGGCTCTTCTCCACCACCTTTGCCTGCCCCGCCTGAGTAGAACAGGACAAAAAAGTCAGTTAGTCAGTAGTCCCAAACAGTTCATTCAAGGGGGGGGGGGGGGGGACCTGCCTGGGAGTGGGGATCGGGAGCGGAAATGGGGGGGGGAGTTACTAAATGGTTGATTCCTTTTTTCTGCAGAAAATAAATTAAAGGGTTAAAGGGGGAAGCGGAGGAGGGAGGAAGCCACAATGTTCTATCGATCACAACTTCTACGTTTCTGTACATACGTGTACTTTTTCATTTAACTCCATTTTTCAGCATGCGATACTTGACTTGCATATTGCTGATTTAACACTGATCCCATTTATAAAAAGAAATTTTCAGCGAAACTAATTCTTTCCGGCATGCACGAGGAGGAAAGGAATCGTGAAGATGATTAGAACTAGTTAATGCACATGCGGCAGCATTGAATCCAGGGTTATTTGCAATGTGCATTCCCCTCCCCCCCAATAACTTTCAATTAAAGTTGGGGTGGAATGGGGGAGGGGGCAGGTGTATAAAAGTTTTCTCGGGCTCACTAACTGAAACTGCGCTTAATCACACTCAAACAATTCAAACAATAGCCCCCTGAAAGCTTTTCAAGTTGTGAATCAGTGTGGGCGGTACAAAACATTTTTGGAGATCTATAACAATAGGTTGCAGAAAGCCCCACTGCGCGACGGGGGGGTGGGGGTATTGCTCAGTATTGGGGTAAAAAGGGGAAGGGGGGGACGGGCAAAGAAGGGTGGGAGAGGGGGAGGGGGAGAAGGAAGAGAGAAAATCACAGTAAAACAATAGAAAAGAAAATTAACCTTCGGCCATGTTGCCCCACGGGCCCTCTGCTCCAAACTCGTGAGATGAAAACTTTCCCTTTGGAACGGAGTGGTCTTCTGCATCAATCTAACATCTTGATTTTGTGCGATCACAAATTTAGCTCGCATGGTCTAATGTGCTTTCCCTCTTTTGATTTTTTTTCTCTTCTCTCTCCAGTTTCTGGCCCCCTGAGCACACGTGACTTTGTCAATTACATGCTTTCTTGCTACTAATTTCACCTCGGACCCTTAAGGGGCTGGCAAGAGGAAGAGATAACCAATCGCCATTTCATCTATGCTGACATCAAAATAACTTATGAATGAACGCGAAAAACTCAAACACGTTATCTTAAAGACAATTTGGGACGCTTCTTTACGATAAATCAGAATGCCGATTTTGTGCTGTTACTTAAACACAATGGAGGGTCCTTGTGAATCGTCGATTTAGAGAAACGGCACAGTCATATATGTGCACACGCGTGCCTTACACACAAGCCTGTCTAAATAATCTCATTTAGGGGGGGAAAGCCATTTAAATAAAGCAACCGATGTTATGCTCCCCCCCCCCCAAGAATTCAACTGATCGGTAACAACAAACCTGTTTAGGATGCAAATTTCACATTTGATTCAATTCTTAGAGAAAAATAGGTAATTTACAAAGGATCTAATTGAACCTAATTACACATCCATGAAACTTTATATATTGGTAACCTACACCCACAGTAAGAGAAATGCACACAAGTACCTGATTGTGCCCTGAAATATTTTTCAAATTTAAAATAAAATCCTACCGGAAAAATCGCTATCACCTTCATGCAGTCAAATTGTGTTTAGGTTTACCGTTTCGGAACATTTTGGAGGGGGTTGGTAAGGAATTGTACTTCACAGGTTTCTCCGCCATCTCTTTCCGGGGGAGGAGATGTGATTAATGACTTCCTAAATAACAGCCCAGTTTTCCAGCCTAACATAGAGTGAACCTCAATCAGTGGCGATTGTTCCCCAAGAGCAAGGCGACGTATGTATGGGCAGGGAGGGGGAGGGGAGCGCCAGGCAGGCGAGGTGAAGAGGAGCCAGAGAAAGAGGTGGGGGAGAAACAGCGGGCGAGGGTGGGGGGAGGGGTGAAAAAGAGGGGCAGTGGGAGGAAGAAGGTAAATTCACATCTTATTGACTGGACCCTGACATTTTAAAAGTGCACTACCAGTGGGTACAAGAGTTGAATAAACGAAAATTTAATAACGGATTAGGCTCCTACCGTCCCTTCCACGGCCAGCCCCCCAGCTTCAAAATGCTTGCTTATCCTTTTACCTTTCAGATTGTTACAAACGATTGTTGATTACTAGATGCTGACACCAATATTGCCTCCCTCATCGGCTACTACAGTAAATACTATAGATCAACTGGAAATGCTTGATTTCCTTTAGAATATAAAATAACACCGGTCTTTGAAACATTTAAACGCACCACCACCCTTTCCCCCACCCCACCCCCCATTTTCTTAAACAAGCAGTTTACCGAGAAACTGTACAGATACCACTTCCCTTCGGCAAAGCTACCGAGTTTACCCTCCCCCACCAAACCCGCAATCCACCTCCCCCCCCCCCCAACACACTCCTAACTCTTAGCACTGTTTCACACAAACTAAAACGTACGGATTCTGAGTCCAAAAGCTTTGGAAAACCCACAGAATCCACCTATTTACACCTCCTCCCCATATTAAACAATGAAATGGACAATTATACTAATTAGTTCAGATCTGAAATAAATGGATGTATATAAATTAATTATTTTCAGCTGTTTGTGGTAAAAGGCTTCAATGGAGACTGATGAATTTGAAAAGATTTTTCGTCTGTTTCTTTCTTTTGTTGTTTCTCAAGAAAGGGAGCAAAGCTATCTCATTTTATTTACTTTGGTGGAGAGGGGGAGATAACCATGTGCCAGCTGGTAGGGAGGAAAGAAAAAGTATAAAAATTCAAATGATTTTGTAAGAGTCCCAAAAGCTTGAAGCTCTCAAAAAAAAAAAAAAATTGCTAACAAAACATTTACTTGGCATTACTTTATTAGAAATCAACTGATTACACTGACCTATAATGCAATAACTTTAACAATGGTACTCCAGGTTAAATGTTTTGAATAACAGGAAATATAAAAATTAACTTAAATCAATAGTGGGGGTTTTAATATTTTAAATGAAAGAATCACTTTTAAAAATCAACATCTGATAACAAATAACATGAAAAGTATTAACACAATTGAGGAAATGTCATTATTTATGTAAAATTATAAAATTCACAGGCAGTGTAATTTAGTGTTGTCACTGATACACGTCTACGATAAACAATATTTTATCTATGTTGTTTTTAATCAGAAAATGGCCTAATCAGCATAAACTCAGAAACATGTACGTGGGCTCTGGATCTTATTTGTTCAATGTGATGAAATTCAAGCCTATAAATACATAGATGAAAAGTGGGAAATACCATAAGTGAACCACATTTGGATGATATGGGTTATGAGATTCAGTTTTGCTGGAATGGGGGCCTCCAGTATTAGTGGAATTAAGGTAGGGTTCACTGGACTGGTCACTGGTGTCAGAGGTTATCGACTCATTCATTTCCTGAGAGGGACATCGGCCTTTCAAGTCGTGTAGAAAGCTTTTTCCAACCGGGAACTTTCAGAAATCCTCTAACATTCATTCACAGAGAATTTAAGGCAAATGCATTTACATACCTGGTGGAGGGAGGGGGAGTGCGGAGATTAAAAGAAAGGAGACTCGGGGAGAGGAAAGGGAGGAGAAGCGGGCAAGGGAATGGGTAGTGGGGGAAGAGAAAGGAGACAGTGACAGAAAATACCAGTTTCCATTTCAGGGATATGGCACTGTCTTTGAAAATAGACTCATCTTTTCCTGCTCCTTGCCCTCAATCTTTTGAGCCTAAGAGCCTTGTTTAAAACTAACCATAATCTTTTTAAGCTCATAGAGTTCTTCTTTCACCTAAAATGGTCCCTTGAATCTCCTAGAACGCTTTCCAATTTGTCACCTTCCTGAAGTCTTCTGGTTTTAATTTTTTTCTCATTTCCTACTTGTTTTTAGTGCCAGAAAGACCTGTGCTTGACTCAAAACGCATGTTTTATACTCGTGGAAGCCAAATGTTTCAGTAGCTTGATTTATCATACTTCTTTCAAAATGTCTTTAAAATGAGTTCAAGTAGCTACAAAGAATCCTCAACACACTGGGGGTAAAAAAAAAAAAAATCAACGAAATAACCTATTAAATGCCCGTTGATTATCACAATCTAAAATTTCTACAGTTAAGAAACGAAATACACCATTTTTTCTTTCTTTTAAAAATTCCAACAGTACAATGCAAGCAACCGAAAAAGGTCCCAGAGCCCACCGTTGTTGTTTTCAAGTAAAAGCAATGAGTGACTTCTATACAGGCTGAAACAATGCTTCGGTTCTTCTTAAAACTAGGAGGAGGGGCTGCGGCACCACAGCGAGCGGCTCCACCCGTGCTCCCCTCCCGGCGAATGGGCCGGGGTCCGCAGCCCGCTCTGCCCTCGCCCCGCGGAGCTTCACGCGCAGCCCCGCGCCCCAAGCTCGCCGAGACCCCCAGGTCAGCGACTCTGCCCCTTCCCTCCACCGCCCGCCCTTGCCACTTCCTCTCCCCTTTCTCTCTCCGGTCACCTTTTTCTTTATTCACCACATCACCACCTCAGTTCTAGAAGTTTAGCCCTTCCAAAGAAGGCTGAGGGTTTTTCACTAGTTAGGGTACTTTCACATTTGTCATTTTGTCCCAACCAAATGAACACCGAACAAAAGGATCCCTTGCCTCCACTGGGATGGAGGCAACGTTTGGCACAATCCGCTACCTTCATTGCATTTCCAGACATATATCATTTATAATCTGATCTCTTCATCTGTGATATGTCAAAGTCTCCGCAATTAGAAAAGTGAAGTCGGGGGTCGGGGGGGGCGGTTATCAGAAGAAGCCAAGAAAAGGAGCACCCCACCCCCTACTCCCCGACCAGGCCATGCCTAAAATGGAGCTGTCTTCAGACCCCTGGCGCCGCCGTCTTTTCGGGAAGCCACGAAAACGTCGCCGTGCGCCTTAGGAGGGTCAAGAAAAGCCGTCTGTGGGGAAGCCGGTGGGGG